GTTGCAGAAGCATCATGAACATCCAGCGCAACAGCGGAAGCAAAAAATATTACACAGGGAAAATCACAACAATCGGCAAGGACGGAATTTGAAGCAATGGACAAAACTTAGGTGGGGAGGAACACGGAAGACTGAATAAACAAATTAAAGAACCAGATGCGAAAGAAATATGTTAGTTAAGCGTGTCATAGGCAAAGGTGAAAGTTCAACCTGCTGAACGAAAAATAAGCAAATTCTTCATCAAATCTTCACCTGAAAATCAGCAACCTTCTGAAATGCAACAATCTTGTGCACTAAACCGAAAGCTGACAAGACCTACACATAAACTCCAATGTTAGTAGCATGTTACAGAGAAGTAAAACTAAAAACAAGAAGGAAATAAGGAAGAATGAAGCAAGATATAATTACCAAAGAAAGTGAAGAAAGCTATCACCAATAGGAACCTGCCTAAGATTGTTAATAAACCTGCATACAAATTACTTACCTACTGGGTCACGAGCCCAATATCGAAGACCACTATCACCGAGGCCCAATCACCTTCAAGTAAGGTTTGGGCCCGACAATCTCAACTAAGCTATAAATACACATTTGAACTCATTCCATAAGGTACGTCCTATTAACTGAACAATACTATAATACGTATTCTCTGGACTATTTCTATGATCAGCACGTCTGACTTGAGCGTCGGAGGGGTTTCTGCCGGATCAACCCCCGGCTTAGTTCATGTGTTCTATGATCGCAGGTACCTCAGGATCATCAAGTTGTCAAGCTACTGATTTGCTTTGCTCTCCCAGTTCATTTTCTACACCACCCTAGGTGAGCTACATTTTAGCATCATCAACGACCTAATTATGCCTGGCCCGAAATTTACTGGAAGTTGTTTAGGATGGATGATGAGATCAGTTTGGCAAGTTTGAGCCAAACTCTCCATATTGAGCTTATTAAACAGTATAAAGATAAATGTATGGGCCGAAAGAAATTTGTTGGCCCACCAACCCAATACGCCATCAAAGATAAGTTCCCTTTAGAAGTTCGCGGTTAACGAGCTCGCCAGCTCATCCTAACGTGCCAGAGAGAAATCAACAGAGCAGGTGGCGAGCTGAACGAGAGTCATTAAGAACAGAAGACTCGGAGATATCTTTTCCTAAATAGATAAGGAAAGTATGAAAATTAGTATTCGTAATAGATCAATCAATGTAAATCTCGACCTAATTAAGGCGAGTTAAACTAGGAACCAATTAGAGAGATCTTCCTATATAAAGTCTTGTAACAAGTCCGATTAAGCACACAATTTAACATCAATGAAAACACTTTATACTCTCTTCCAAACACTTTCTCTCTCTATATATATTAAATTTTCCGTTCGTCGAATTCATCTTCTCCGGCGAAGGACCAGCATTCGATTTTTCCGACGGTCAAAAGAGTTGGGATTGAAAGGAAGTCTTGAGAGTGTAGATTCTACACCAACAATGAAAATCTGAAGAAAAAAATAAAATAATAATAACAATTACCATAATGTTAAATAACGTTCATTTTATTTAGGGATAATTTGAATTAAATATCAAATAGACTACCCATGGTGCAGTTGTGCATGACTTTTTTTTTTTTAATTCTCTAAGAGTTGTGTCTGAATACTGAATATTAGATTAAACTCATTTAATAGCTGATGATCAATAATATCTGAATAATGTTATTTTATTGTTATAAACTTGGTGGAATAAAAAAAAATTGTTAATTAAATTATCAGAAATATATATGTATAAATGTATTTCTTTTTGCACGACTAACTTAATTAGTAAATTATAAAAGAATAGTGGACATCAAACACCTTTCTGTGTACTAAGTTTCAAGTATTTAGCATAATTATAATACAATTTGAAATATAAATGCTAAAAAAAAAGGAAACGTTCTAAAATAAAATAGCTAAAAGTAAACGAAAATAATTTGAAGATATGAAATATAATTTGAAGAATTTGGGAAGAAAATTTATCGTGCAAGTAGAATAAACAGGGGTGATTGCTTGGAATGTATGAATTTATTAAGGATATATATGTCCAAATCTCATTCAGATCATGGACCGATTTGGTCAGCACCTATTTTTGGCTTGAACGGTTAATAGTTAGGATTGAACCGACTCAACCTCAATTCAACCGATTTATTTATTTATTTATTTATTTTTTAATTATTATATAATTTTAAAATAATTATAGTTAAACAAAAATATATCTAAAGAATATAGTCATCATTAAATATCAACCTAAAGACTTTAATTAAATTCATTGTTCATTAATAATAAGCATGAAACACAAAGAAAATAAAATAAAATTTATATATTTTAGAAATTTAGCAAACATAAATTCTAGATAAAATAAAGCACATTATCCACAAATTCCGAACCAAAAGTCAAGAGACGTGCGATTTCCATCCTTAAAACAATCTTATTTCACCATCAAATTAAATATATTTCTTATTTTATCCATTTTTTCTTCTTTCACCTATATTTTTTTAAATTTATAAACCAACATCACTAAACTAAAATATTTATTAAAAATTCTCCACTATCTTCACTCGAACCCTCTCCACCTTAAGTGAATAATACTTTCGTTAGATAAAACATTTTCGAAGGTAAAACGAGTAGGAATTCACGTTTTTTATTTAGATAGAAATTAAGATTGCTTGTACGGAAGGTCCTGAACTTCCTCCTGAATTGACCAGTTTGGTTATAATTTCGTTTCCTAAAAAAAGAATTACATAATCTGTAGACTATAGATTATATGATATGGAAGTTTAAATATCTTGTAATAAATATTTCGTTGGAAAAAGAAAATAAAAAATAAAAAAATAAAATAAAATAGAAATTACTTAGAACATACAAGATTAAGTGAATATAAGGAAGGATGGTGGATTATAAATTGCAGGGGTTATTTATAACATTTTATAATCTTTAGTGGTGAATTGAGATACTTTGAAGGTGGAAATAACACCGCTCTAAATAAATAACTAATTTTCATTAAAGAAAGTAAAGAACAATCCACTAATAAGTAATAAGACAAAAAAAAAAAGGGCAAATGGCAAAAAGGCTCATCACATGGGACTTAAATGCATTTTAGTCCACAAAAAAACAGTCTCTCAATTAAGCCCATCCCCATGTCTTTAGTCTAAAATACCCTCAATAATGTAATTCTTATCAATTCCACCCATTATGCTCTTACTTCCTTAATATTACACATTGACCCCGGATTTAAACAAATATATCACATTAACCCCCAAAACTTTTTTTTTTCAGAAAATAATTTTTTTTCAGAAATTTTTTTTTCCGGCCAGATTCCGGCGTTGACCGCCGGTCTCCGGCGTTGACTTTTTTTTTTTTTTTTCTTGAAATGTTTTTCTTAGAAAAAAAATATTTTAATTACTATTACTG